GTATTTCAGTTAATCTATTTTACATAAATGGCTTAGGATCCCATTTTTTATTTAAAAGTATAAAGGTAAAACTCATCCACTCCTATTTCTAAAACATAGACTCCAATTTACAGAGCTAAACATTTTATTCTATGCTTATAGCTGCCATATGTCTTAGATTTCCTCAGACAAGCCCTGAATCAAACACTCCATTCCTTTGCCCCTATAAATAGTCAGAATCCCAAAACTGGAATCAAACCACAATTCCCAGACAACACCCTGAAACTGCATACAAATCCTTTGTCAGACCACGTATGTGCCAGTCATTATTTCTGCTCATTCCAGTTATTCTACTTCCATCCCAGGAATCTGCAGAACCAGCCTTAATACTTTTGCCCAGAAATTGCTCATCTAAAAGGGGAAACTTCCTTAGGGCAACAGGTTTCTAAAGGCAATCATATTACTAGCAAAAATAACAGGAACCACTATTTTCCCTTATGCAAACAATACTATATTAATACTAAGTTAAAAAATTTGTCCTCAGTTTGAAACCTAGGATTTCTAGTGAGCCGTTTGTGAACCCTATGAGTTCTGCTTTAATCCTCTGACCCATCTACTCATTCAAAAATGGCCAGTTAAATTAACAGAGAATACCTCATAAAATAATCTTCATTTGAGTCCAGAGGAATCCCAGTGACCTACAAGTAAACCTTCCTTTTAGAAGGAATCGGTTAACACTCTCTCTCCCTCAGGAATTCCTAGGGAACAGGATAAAGATTAAGGCTCTTGCAGTTTTGACTTGAGTGACTTGAAGATGACTTCTGCACCCTCACCATTTTACTGACTCCAGCCTTCCCCAACAACTCAACACATCATTTCACAAGAGCATTACAACATCACTTTTCATTCAACAATTCATTTTAAGGACCTAGTGCCAGACACTATATTATAGCTCAAGGAAATTAGTGAGTTACAAAACGGACACTTTATAGTCGAGTGGGGAAGACAGACACTTAATTATATAATTATGAAGGAAACAAATAGGATGAACCAATAATGAAGACAGGCTTGCAACTTAGGGTGCTGAGGGAAGAATTTCTTGAGGTGATGAGAATCTAAAGGTTGAGGAGGAAACAGTTATGCAAAACGCAGGGAGCAAAAATGTTCTAGGCAGAAGGAAAAACAGTTGCAATGGCTCTGAAGCAGGAAACAGTGTGTTGAGGACATTTTAAAAGGTCAGTGTAGGTGGAGTATAGTGGGCAACAGAGGGAAATGTGGCTGGAAAGATTAGCAGGGGCCTAGATCATGCAGGGTCTAGGGAAGCTATTGAAAGGAGTTAAACAAGGAAGTAATGTAATCCCATTTATGTTTTTTTGAAGATTGCTCTGCTAGATTGGTAGAGGTGCAAGAATAGAAGCAGGGAGACAAATAAGGAAGCCATTGCAGACAGCTAAATAAGAGAGGTGGTAGTTCAGGCACTGGGAATCAGGAACCTTTTAAATGATGTCTCAGATTAAAAGATGAGCACGAGTTAACCAAAGGAGGAAGGGCACTGCAGGCCACTGAAAACACGTACAGTGGCATTAGGTCCCGAGACTGTTACCACACAAAGAGCATGATCTGCTCACCACAAGACAAAAGCCAATCATCAAGAGGCAAGATGGTGGCAGAGAGAGGGCAGTTTATTATGGCTTGCCAGCAAGGGGGAAAATGGGCAACTAATGTCCAAAAGAACCTTCTTACAGAACAAAGACTACAGGCCAGTTATATAGAGGCTGGTCTCCAGGTGGGGGAGGCATCTGGTTTCAGGGTGGGGGCAGACATCTAGTCTCAGGGTGGAGGCAGATATCTAGTCTCAGGGTCGGAGCATCCATCTCTTCTTAGTTCCTGATAGTCTTTTGTTTTACTGGATATGTATCAAAGACCAGAGCAATGCCCAAAGATCAATACCCTGATCTTTCACTTGTCATTGATGATGGCTATCAGCATAGACTTTCTGCCCAGGGGTCATCACATTCCTAAGGAACTCAAGAGAACAAAGTTATCAACTTATAGCAGCTGGGAGAGGCAACCAAATCCACAGAGCACGTGTGGGTTAATCAATCAGAGGTCATTCAAAGTTACAGTATGGTTTCTTTTCTACAATATGGCTTCCCCTATGTCAATCTTGTGGAGCCAGTATCAAGACTATAACCCATTCTGACATGGTAAATAGCCTTATATGGCAATAGCAAAGGGTATGTGACAAGAGTGAAGGCAGGAAGACCAACTGTTAGAAAGCTATTGCAGTAATTCAAGCAAGAACGGATGGTGCCCTGAACTAAATGAATGGCAATGGAGAGGAAGAGGCAGGACTGTATCCATATGGTATTGAAAGTGGTAGGAGAGACTGGCTGGATTTGAAGAGGGGAGGAAAGAGAAACTTGGGATAACTAGGTTTCTGGCTTTGAGTGTTTAGATTATGATGCTATTCACTAAAATAGAGAGAGCCAGGGGTGTGGAAAGGATGAGCTCAGGTTTGTATATGCTGTCATACTGGAAGAGCCATACAGTAGGCAGTTGGATACATGGCGGTATCCAGCTTAGACAGAGGCTGAGGCTGGAAATGTACATTTAGAAGCCACAGGTGAACAAGTGGTGGATAAAGTTAAGAGAAAGACCGATTGCTCAGGGATGTACAAAATGAGATGAGCTTAGTCCAGAACCCTGGGATGCTCTGACACTGAAGGGGCAAGAGTTAGAGCAGAGTTTCAACACTAGCACTGGTATTTTAAGCTGGATAATTCTGTTGTGAGGCATTGTCTGGCACATGGTAGGATGTTTAGCAATAACATCCCCAGACTCCACCCACTGATGCCAGGAGGACTCACCCAGTTGTGACAATCAAATATGTCTCCAGACATTGCCAAATGTCTCCTTGGGCAGTGGGGATCACTCCCTGCTGAGAAACACTGAGTTAGAGTAAGAAGAGTCTCCAGGATACTCACAAAAGGTTCTGAATGAGTTCCCTCAATCCATAAGATTCCTCCCAAGTCTCTGTGCATAGTCCTGTTCTTCATGCCTTGAGAGAACCAAAGAAATGCAGGTGCCATTCCACTATACCCAACTCAGAGGGCACTGGAATATCTTTATGTACTAGACTGGAACAAGTCAACTGCTAGAAATCACACTTCTGGTATGAGGCTACAGTGGGGAAAAATATGTATTCTTTTGTAAAATTTTTATTCACAGGTGACATACAAAAAAACGTGACTCTGCTCCCCAATACAGGCTTAGGTGTCACTATCCTGTTCCAGTAAGCCCCAGCACTTCATCATGAAAATAATACCTAAAATTTTCCAAGAGTTTATGATTTATAGGCCCTCTCACCTAATCTCCACTCAATCCTTATGAGGAGCAGGTACTGCTGTTTATTGTCTCATTAGTTGAGGAAACTGACGCAGAGGGGTTAAGTAACATGCCAAAGTCACATTAAGTGATGGAACTGAGACTGGACCTGACTTTGGAGTCTTGAGTCCAAAGCCCATGCTTTAAGGCTCAACCATTTAACCATTATTAACCACAGATGGCCTCCACTAGGCTACAAGCTCTGTGAGGAAGGGGCTGGGTTAGTCTTTTTCACCATTGTATTCCTAGCATTTGGCTCATGCTTAGCAACAGGAGCTCAAATATTTACTGAATGAGTTTCAGTTCAGACTTAATTCTTTAACTTATTCCTAGATCTGCATTGAGGTGTTTAAGACACTGAGAACTCAGACAGCAAGTTAAGGCACCAAGGGGGAAAAAAATGTCTTCCACTCTCACAGGAAATAAAGAGTCACATTGTCTGACACTGCACTGCTAGAATTTTTTCTTTGAGAAGTTTCCATCAACTCTTCACTTCCATTAAAGCAAAGTTACCCTCCTCACTGCCTCCTTATCCAGCATATGCCAGTTACATCAAGGCCTCAAGGAGATGGGGGAAGAATGGAAATGGAAATTAAGTATGGAATCGAGTATTTTCGCAAAATGACCCAGGTGTAAATAATTTTTGATAGGATCATAAACTAGTATTCAAGGATAAGTTTTCCAAACATCAGATAGGCTTTTTTTTTTTTTTTAACATTCTCTACCCTCTATTCAAAAATGTTTTAGAAAGTTGAATAGGTACCACCTACTGGATATACCTGCCTCAGCATATTTTTCCTCACTAGCCAGCCTTGGTAGCTTTTTGATAAAGGGACTATATATCCAGAAATTTCTGTGATGTGCAGAAGGTCCCTGCAATGGGTAACAAGGCTAAGCCGGTGATGCCAAATACTATAACAGACATTGCTAACTGATCATGTATGTTCTTCTGGGCTCAGCTGTAGTCTCGGAATATTTATCAATTTAATACTTCAAATAGCCATCACTCCCATGAGATAAAATATTTTGTCATCTCTGCCTTAAAGCCACCCTCAGGGGTAGTCTGGAGATTATGGAACTCAGGGGATAGCAGTAACCTCTAACGGCGAGTTAGCAGAGGGAATATGCAGTCGAATTCTGCAAAGAATGGAAGGAAATCCTCAAATGGGCTTTAGTCTGCTCTGTGTACACACTTGCACATCTAGATGTACTTCCTGGAAACCATGGAAGCTATAAAGCAATTTGAGAGTTGAGAAACTTCCCCACTCTACATGGAAGACACTTCAATGAAAGCATTCATGTAAAGCTTGTACTTTATGGCCCTCATACCCTCCCTAACCTAGCATCATCCATAATGCTCTCATTCCCACCAAAGACCCTAGGGAAAGCTTGATACAGTGCATTTTCAACAAATTTTAACATGAACTTGGCCTTTAAAGAAGAGGGAGAAGAATGTGTTTTCTGTTCGAGCATTGTCTCCTCCAGAGTGGTTCGGTGTTTAGATTGCCATTGAACAACTGTGAGGGTACTTTGCCAAGCTTCAGTCTTCAGTCTCTAGTTTGCCATACTGACTTCTACCCAAATGTTAAAACCTTGTTTAAAAAAATCGTTAACTCACTTTTGTTTTCTTTCAGCTCCTTTGAAGATTATGAAACAGAGGAACCTGCCTCTCCCTCTGAAATTGGAAACAAAGGCAATAAAATAGTAACCTCAAGCCTTTCAGAGAAATGTGGAAAGCTTCAGTCAGTGGATGAAGAGTAGCTGCCAATGTCTACAATGAAAGGAAGATAGGTATTTTAAATGTTTTCTTGTGAAGAGATGCTCTAGTTTGCATACTGCTTTTTAAAGCCTTTGATTTCTGCAAGTGTATCTGCACTAGGAACTTTAAAACGTTTTTAAGCAATAGGTCTGGATACACATACTCAATTTGGGAGACTCCTCCAATTTGCCTAAATCCTCTTACAGAGCTTTTCCTCGGAAGAAAATATAATGATATACATCACCTTCCAAAGTCTGTGAATCAGCACTCTTCATCCCTGAATTACCAAGGATCTCTTGGGGACAGTGCCAAGCACAGTTCTGTGCACAAAAGCAGGAGTTGCCTCTGTTGTCCAGCATCCCTGAGGCCCCTCAGGGGCTCCTATGGAACCCAGAAGAAACCTTCACTTGCAGAAAACTTGAGTCAAAAAATTCTGGAACTTGAAAAAGCAGTAAGGGCCTCCAGAACTGAATTAGCCCTGATAATAAAAGCACTGCCAAAACATCTCAGAGACTTCTTTTAATTATGTGTGTACTGGAGTTGAAAGATCTTGAACTTACTTGGTTTAATGTAATTTCACAATGACCTGCCAAACTGCTAGTCACTTTACATCCTCAGGTATTGTAACCACTGGGCCTTCCAACTTTGCTGGCAAGCTCTAAATAATTCCTCCCTATTCTTACTGTGGATCATATGTAAAATCTGAAGAAAAAACTTCTTAAATGAAGACAACTACAGAATTTGACTCATACTTGGGGAAAAAAAGTTTCCTTTTAACTCATCTAATATTTGCAGAGAATTATGGAATGATCTGTTAATCTCCATATTAGTTGATGCCCTATCTACAGTTCCTATCAGAAGGACTACTTGAAGACTTAAATAACGATCTATGAAAATTCTTACTAGACATATTCCTTTCATCACGGAATATTATACTAGGCCAATAGTAAAGGCCTCAATCTAAACATTATGCCTTACTTCATGCTGAAAAGACACTACTATTCCAAATATTCCATCCACCTCAATATTTATCACAAAAAGGGAAGAAAACAGTGATGCTACCCATAAGAGAGCTATTCATGTTTACTATAGGAGTAGATGCATTCATTACAGAATTCTGCATTTTTCAGCAAGCCACAATGCAGCCAAATCCTACAATATCCTTGAAGGTAAAATTGATGATAAACTATTAAAAACGATGGAAATTTCTGATAGTGTAAGTAAAACAAGTCCCCAAAAACTTTTTAATATCCATCTCTGTCAAAGTCATCAACTTTTCCCCTGGATTTTTTAACCACAAGTCCTGAATGTCAGAATAGCTTCCCTTCCCACCCTGCTTTGGTTCCCTTGCTGTTGTGAAGGCCAAATATTGAAATAATCAAACCTTGGGCTATAGTAGGCAAAAAGTGGAGAAAAGGAGGATTTAGGAAATGCACCATCCACTGGTACAGTAATAGAGTTAGCAATCCTTCCTGTCAGTATCTTCTCAGTTTCCTGTTATTTTACCTTCATGATCAGAACTGATCTTCCCGTTTAACTGTTATAGAAGGGGATAACTATTAAAACTTAGTATCTGATAGTTCACAAAGAACTAAAAGCTTAAAAGTGACTCAATTTTTAGGAAACACTATATGCAATAACCTAAACACACTGGTAAATTATTAGGATTAAAAGTATTTATGACATACATGAAATTTACCATCTATCCCATCCAACCTTTACCAGGGAAGGAAAACATTTCAGATAAAAAACACTAAAAAGGTAATACTTTTTTTTAGATGCCAGATATGATTTAAAGGTTTCATTATTCATAATGATCTAAACTCTTTCTAAGACTCAGCAAAAAGTAAAAATAAAATTCAATTTTCCAATATAAATTTGATTTTGGTTTTTTTCTTTTTAACCATTTGGCTTTACTTTTTTACCTTGTTTCTCCTTACTGAAGTCCTCTTGCTTTCGCTTTGGTCAATATTTGATTTCAAAAGTCTGTAATTATTATAAAAGTACAGCTACCAATATCATTCCATTTAAGATAAGCCTATTTTAATATAGTTTACCCAAAGTATCGCATTTTCAGACATAAGAATGTGTTTCATTGTACTCCTTTCTTAGAGTTGAATGCAAGAAATGTGAATTCCGAGGAACTAAGTTATATATTTGACTTTCTGGTAAAGATCATGCTGAATATAATCATTACTACCCAACTGGAAATTTCAAGTTGTTACAGTATCCCAGGCTCCTTGATAAAAGTTAAGTTGAAGGTTATGACGATCTTAATGCTAGTCAATGAAAAATGAGTTTCATAGCATAACATTAATTGCCAAAGTAATCAAACTAATAAAATTGTGTATTTTCCCTGCTTCTCAACTATGTCATTGTGTACTGTTCAAAGTGTTTATAAAACTCTAGATTGATCAAACGAGATAAGTCATTTGCTCAACTTTTGGAAATGTTAAGGTGTGTTGGGGTGGAGAGGCCTGCATGATTTAACTTTTGTTTTTGTTTTTCAAACCTTTTTGCAAAACTAAATAAAGACAAGTTGTCAAATATGAATCACGTTCACTAAGATAATGACTACATATTTTTGGTTCTAATCACACTTGCAACTCATTTTTATGTTTGAAATAGTAACATTTAAACAAGCTTGAGTTTCAAAGAGAATAACTCTTTGAACCCCTGGGAAAACTATGAAGAAAGATCTGGAAGGATAACACCTCATACTGAGAAGTGATTTCCTCTGGGGATAGGGAGGAGGACCAGGGTTTGGGATTGAGGGGTTTACACGGATCAAAGGGATCTTTAGCCTTATTCTTTTAAAAGAATGCATAATTGATTGTTATTTGGGTAATTAAAAATTTTTCAAAAAGGGAGAAAAAATACCAAGTATTAGATTCTGATACTATATCTTGAACTTAGTATTTTGTATGTGTTACCCATGATATGGGAAAGGAAATTTTATTTATCTGTTGTAAAACTTTTACTAATTCTTCAGCAAGGTCACCATAGAGTTGTTTCAAGAAAACTAAAAATACAGTGAAATAAAAGGAATTCTTTATCCTAGGACCATATTACACCTCTGCATAGAAATGCAGACTCAGGCCGGCCCCATGGCTTAGCGGTTAAGTGCGCACGCTCGGCTGCTGGCGGCCCGGGTTCGGATCCCGGGCGTGCAGTGACGCACCGCTTCTCGGGCCATGCTGAGGCCACGTCCCACATACAGCAACTAGAAGGATGTGCAGCTATGACATACAACAATCTACTGGAGCTTTGGGGGGAAAATAAATAAATAAAATCTTTAAAAAAATAAAAAAAAAAAGAAATGTAGACTTAATGAAGCTAACCAACAAGATAAATTGTCAACTCTAAAACTTCTATCACCTAAGGTGAAAGATCATTTGATCATTTATGTTAACAAGGACTCAAAAGAATAAGTAAAGATGGGTCATATTAAATGCTGTTATTGTTTTGGTGGTTTCAAATCCTGATGAAGTAAATGCAGTTACTTCAGTAATAATCTCTCAATCATCCCTAGTTAGCCATTAGTCAACATTCCTAAATAACTCATGGTATAAAGAAAAACAATGTAAAAATCAAGGCACTATAATTAATTACTCTTCCCCAAATGTATATAATATAAGCCATTCAGAGCATGCTATCCCACACTCCTCAGTATTCTACAACATAGAATTAGAAAACTAACATTTATTGATAGATTTAAGGTGTAATACAGGTTTCCAAAAATGTGGCAGTGAGAATACCAGCATAAAAAAGAGAAACTTGTGCTAAAAACAACCTGAATTCATCATTGGCAATATTACAGAACAATCAAGGCTCTCACATACTAATGATTTCCACTTTGTCTATATTGCCAACCTCCCATGCATCAAAAAAACACAAAACTAAGATTATCAAACTTGGGAAGCAATAAAGTACTCTATGAATTTTAAGATCATAGGAAAGTTTGGAAGATCTGCAAAATATATCCTAATCATCCACGTGTACAATCTCATTTCTAATCATTTTTGCAGTGATCATTAGTGAATAAAGAACAGATTTACAAGTTTATATAGCAGGGCATCTGGGTTCAACACAAAAGTGTTAACAAACTTTAGGCAAATACAGGTTTCATAAGACACTGCTAACACTTAGCGGAATTAAATAAAATTCCAAAACTTGGAAAGCAAATAAAGACAAGACAACTAAGAAGCATTTTCCACCATTTACTCTTGTTATCAAAAATAGTTCAACTCTTCTTGCAAAACAAAAACAAAATAGTACATACTGGACACATACATCACATTTTTCTTCCTATGGCTTTAGCCCACCCCCACCCCACCAAAAGAGACCAAAAAAAAAAAAAAAAAAAAAAAAATCCCAACAACAACAAAAACAACTCTACCTGACCACATTCACAGAAAATGACACCAGGATACACTACAAAACAGAAGGAGGTGTCATCTGCTCTGTGTCCAAAGGTTTCTTCTCCATGTCTTGTACTAGGTGAGTAACCATCATTGAACATGCTGTGTGCCAAATCAAAACATAACTTCAACATATGTCAGATCTCACGAGAGATGGTGAACGTAGTAGAAATTGGAAATTTCCCAGCAGTATTTTTCTTTAAATAAGCACTGTCAAAGTAGCAACTCTTCTTGTAAATCATAAGGTCATTTCTTTACAACCTAGTCAGTCCTTGTTTTATCTGGGCTGTGCTCTTTGAAGCAACTGACTAGATTTCCCTTCAACAGAATGTTTGTGACTCACTTGTCTTCCCCATAAAAATTAAAGGAAGAAGTGCATTTAAACTGAAACACAGTTTGTGCTTTACATGCAAAAGAGCATTCTAAAGAAAATCCTTCTAGCTTCAAACTTACCTAAATGCACAGGCTTCATAAAAAGGCATTTTTATTAGGCCTCTATAAAGAAGCCTTCATAACGAATAGCACCCTATTAAAAATTAAAAAAAAAAGGAGCATATTCAAAATAAAGTCAGTGGCAAACTATTCGAGGAAACAAAAATCAAAGAAGTGGCCAATGGCAATAAGTACAATGCATAAATCTGGATAAGTTTTGGGGCATTATTCCAAAATTATTTTAAATAAATCTCAATTTCTAAATAAAACATTTTTATAATTTTTTTAAAATTCTGTCACATACTATAGTCTAAATTCAGTTACCTTCAGAATAAAACTGCTCTTCTCTACTTCATTTATCTAATTAGAACATTGCTCTAAGTGGAGGAAGGATTTAGAATTTTTCCCTAGAAATTGAGTCAGACAACTAAAAAAGGGACTCAACTCAGAAGAGTTTTGTAGCATAAACAGCTAAACATCTGCAGTCTGATAGAATTTCAATTTGTTCACTTTTAAAAGACAGATTTCTTCAACATTCTAATAGGGGCAAATTTTCTTTCATAATACTGCTGATTTAAGAACTGCTACATACACCAGTAGCCAATTTCCATGATCAGAAATGGTATTACGTCAGCACAAAGGTTGAGCTGGACACATCAGCTTTTCAACAGGAGAAACATCAACAGCATCCAAAGGCAGCACTGAGTCTCCTGAACAAACTAATGGCTACTTTTTCAGAAAAAATTAGCACAATCTTTATGGACTGACTAGATACCACTTCCTTACATTTAATCATAAACTTTGATTATGCACAAAGCATGACCATAAACAATGAGGTTAATGTTATTTTCCTTGCCAAAGTTCATTTTGTATAAATCAGTTGCATCAGCATTTGTTCTCAA